GGAGAAGCTTGGACCTCTGCTTCTGTGTACTTTCCAAGGGAAAAACGCAGCACAGTTAATTGTACAAGACTGCATTTCTGTTTGCAGAGATCTATATGGAATCAGAAAGATCTCGTTAGATCCTTCAAATATAACAATAATAATTGTTTTATTATTATTATTCAAATATAACAATAATAATTGTTGTTATTATGGAAATAATACTACTAATAATATTTCTCTGGAGCAGTGATAGTTTTATAAAAATTTCTGTTCATTGAGTCCATTGAGTTAAATTATTCTGATCTGTAAGCCAGAAACCATTCATTTGCTTTTTAAAAATGTATTTAGGAATGGAATAATAATTTGAGTCGTATTATTATTATATCTATATTATTATATCTAATTCACTGCTAAAAAAGCTAAAAATATTTTTTTAAAAATCTGTTTCTGTTGTGCAGAATTCTGATACATGGCATGTTGATTGATTACTGGGAAGTAGGACTGAAACATTTTATTTGAAACCATTCCATTGTTTTCAGTGGGACTGCCCTGAATGAAATCGTTTGTTTATTGCAGCCATGGTGGGTGGGAGCCGGGGAGAGGTTAAGTATACGATAAATAAGAGTGTGTTTGGACTATTGTATAACTAGGAGCTCCAAAAACAGAACGGAGTAATGGCCTGGCTTCATAGGTTTCCAGCTGAAATATTTGAAACATTGAAATAAATTAGCAGAGTTGACTCCCCTTGGGTTCGTTCAGGCTGAAGGTTACTGACCTGTGTGGCAGTTCCTTGCTTTCTAGATCTATCATACTGTGTATATTTTAATTAGCCCTGGGCTTCACATTCCGGGAACACATTTTTCAGATTTTCTGAGGCCTGGCTTTCTTTTATTCACTTCCCATCCCTCTTCCCAGGAATAAGAAGGCCATTTTGCGGAACTTTCGCCAAATACTCACTACCACTTTTTAAAAATGGCACCTGCTTCCCCCGCACCCTTCCGTTCTAAGCCTGTAGCTCTGTGGGGGATACAAAGCATTGGCCGGGCTACCAGCATGGTTGTGATGTCTGCCACAACAGCAGTACCAGCAGTGGCAAAGGCCTGGGGTGGAGGAGGTCACAGGCTCGTGTTCTTGCCACCACAGACGGAGACCCTCACTGCAGCAGGAGCGGAGGATCAAGCTGTGTTAGTGCCACATCTCAGAAACCCCCACACGGTGGTAACATCCATCAGGAATACTTAGCTCGTTTCTCCTTGCTCTTCCACAAACAGGATGGGGAATTTCGTGAGGCAGTTTGCACTTGGCTCTTGGTTTGAATAACAGCAATAAGTGGCATGGATCCAAGGAACTGTGGGACCAGTTTTGCCTTCTCAACCGAGCTGTTGTCTGCCTGTCTCCCGACTCGTCAGTGCTAAATTGCAAACTGGATTTTGAAACGGAGGGAATTATCAGCAGCAATTTAGCGCTGTGGCGTGGAATTAATACATACTGGGTTCCCAACACAAATTTAAGTAGCGCCTTAGATTGCAGCTCTTCCTTCTAGCTGTCCTTAGTAGAATGTCAATGAGCTGGATAATTCTTGGCTGTTGCAGGATCTCAGTTAAATCACGTTTGCCGTGATTTGAAACTCATTGATTTCAGTGGGAACCAATTGATGCTAATTTGTCAGCAAGCCTCTGGAAATAGCTTTTTTACAACTCAAAAAGAAAACTTCTGTCATGCGGTAGATGATACGTGGAGAAGATATTGCTGGGCAGATAGTTTTTAGATTTACACTGAGATCATGTGAATGGACATTTATTCACATCTGCTGTTTGTCTGTGATATCCAGCAGGTGTCACTCTGGGGACTGAGTGAAATTTTACAACCAAGTGCATTTGAAGACAGGCTGACATAATATATTTCCTCTAAAATCCATTCTTTTAAAGAAGTTGTTTATTGCTGTTCTCTCTTTCTTTCTTGTGCTCTCTCTCTCTCTCAGCTTGGCCCCGTCAACTTCCTATCTGCTGGAGATTTTACCGGATACCTTCTTTGTTACAAGATGCCATGACTTTGATGTGTGATCTACTTTAAGAATGAAGCCCTTTCCTGTGGTGTTGCTGTTACATTTGTCTCAGTTGGTTATAAGCAGCTGCTTTTACTACACAAAGTGGCACAGCAGCTTCCAGGCATGATTTAGGCGACAGTTTATGCCTTTTAGTTTGTCTTATGAGACAAAATAACACTGCCCCAGAATGGTACGAGGGGTATGAATGTCCTGAGAAACTGCAGCTACAAAGGACTGCACACAAGCAAAAACACTTCTGTTTCTGATAGTGCTAACAAATGGGAATGTTATGGGTTTGTCCATAAAAATGCCTCTGACAAAAGGAACCGTACGGTACAGGCATCATAAAACACTGGTTTTGCTGAGTGCGTCATGACTTTTGCGCGAGGCCATGTTTCTTTATTTTTAGCCAAATTAGATGTCTTGATGTAATGGACTATTCTGGACTCAGTCAGCAACTGAGTTACACTGACACACCGGTGAGGAAGCAGAACATTCCACGCAGACAAGTAACCCATTTGTCCTGTGAGGCGCTGCTCCCGGTTGTTCTACAGATCAGTTTGGCATAGCTCACATGGATTACACTAAATGAAATGCCAAGTTTGTTAGGACATTGCACAACTAACAATTTACAAGGTTGTTTTTTGTTTGTTTTTTAATAAAAAGAATCATATATTGACCAGATCTGGAGGGGAAATGCAGTAACTGAAAACTGATGTTATCCTGTTTGAATTCATTATGCAAGTCAATGTAGTTCATTAGGCCAGAGTGAGCACATACTGAGTTTGCATTGATTCATTGAGAGCTACCTCTGAGTATATATGCATCGGGTGGGTGCATATTCCACTAGCCGCTGGTGTAGCATTTCCAAGGATCACTCTTGCGATCTGGCCAAAAGATCAGCTCTCCTTCTGTTCTTTGGCTTGAAGCATACCAAATGCTTCTCCAGCAGACTCCGCAGAAAAGGCTTTACATGGGGCTAGCTGTAATGAGGCTAGGTGATTCCTGATAAGGATATTATTAGAAATTCTTTGTTGCTGAACTAGAGAGAAGCAGTAAATATAATTAATCTTATGCATACTTCCAGAAGTTGCAACCTCAGGCCACATAAAGCATCTCTGTTTCCTTTCTTTCCTCTGTAAGTCCATCCTGTTCCTTTCTTATTTTGTTCCATTTCCTCTCCAGCAATGGCATTGAATGAGTCATTTTGGCAGGCATTAAAATGTAGCCATGCAAACTTCCCGAAACCCGCAGGCTTCAGCTCTACAGTGTCATCAGGACTGCCCCTGCTGCCTTTTAATGTGCTCTTAACATGGGATTGCGTAGAAGCCCTTTCCTCTTTCGCAACGATGCTTTGGGAAGGTAGGACCAGTCAATGACCATGGGATAAGCTTCTACACAGAAAAGCTTCTATTTGATTACTGCCAAAGGCGTCCAGAGTAGCAACTGGTCCATTTGGAGGGTGGATGAGAAGGCTCAGTCTGATGGCACCTCTCCCTTCCTCCCTGCGGCTGCATGCAGGCTTTCTATTCACTGGGTTAAGCATTTGTGATTTTTGGACTAGGGAATTGCCCCTCTCCCTGCATTCTAGCTGTTGAGAGCCAGGTTTCCTCCCTTCACACATGCAGAGCCACTGACCCTTCTTGCAAAAACTTATTTACTGACTAAACTGGTTCCCAGAAACACAAACACCCAGAATGACTCTCTGAGCAGGCACAGGGCAGTTCATTGAACCCAGTCTTGGAACTCTCCCTTTGAGTATGTTTGGGCCCCATCCTTTTGGGAGGGGCCTTTTGGAAAGGAGCACAGCTCCTCTCTGCATGCTGATCTTCTGGTTGGATATCCCTCCTGATGCTGTGCCAGGGGGTCCAGAGCTGTACTAGCCTCATCTGTCTCTGAGAAACTCCCCTGTTTCAACTGTACATCTTGGCCATTCTCAGAGGCTGCCTGGGCACCTGGGGAGTCTGGCCTTGAAATAAACCCCTCTGCACTGGCTGCCTCAGTGCCTGGAAGTGGCCCCCATTCTGAGGCCTCCCCTGGTGCTGCTTCTCACCCTCTGAGCTCTTCCTCCTCCATTCAGCCCGTCATAGGAATGTGTGCCAAGAGCACCCACCCTTCTCTGTCCCAACACCAACTGGACGTTGTCTGCTCGGGAAGGTAACTTGCTGGGCCTGAACGGGGCTTCTGGAAGACCCAACAGATTCTTCTGTCAGCCCTTGGAGATATGCCTGCAAATAACTGAGGAGGAGGTGATGGGGATGCCACTAGAGAAGAAATGGGAAGGGGATGGTGAGATATGGCATTATGGGGTAGGCCATCTAAGGAGACATGGGAGCAGACAATTAGTGTCTACTTCTGTGTCTGGTTTTCTTTCCAAGCAGACAGTTACTGGTTGTCCTATCAGCATACCATCATGTTTTCTGCTGCTATTAATTAACAACAAATTAATTAATGCCCTTAATGAGGGTCTGAGGGAGAAGTTGCCCTAAAAACATTGGAAATGCACTCCTGGTGGCTCTCCTGGACCTCTTAGTGGTCTTCAGTACCTTCAGCCACAGTAACCTTCTGGAGATATTGTCCAAAATGGGAGACGGGAGCACTGTTTTATAGAGGTTTCCTTCTTACTTGGATACCTAGTTGCAGGGGGAAATCAAGTGCTAGGGAAATCTAGTTCTACCTCGTGAGAATGCTGTGGCATCACTTAGAATTCTGGTTTGCTCCCCATGCTTTTAAACATTTATATGAAACAACTGGGAGAAATTAGTTCCAGGGAAAGGAGTGAAGCTTCATCCATATTTATTCGTTTATTGAATTTATATCCCGCCTTCTTTCCTTTCAAAGAACTCAAGGTGGCATAAAAATGTTTTAATAAATAAATAATAAAAATACACAATTCTCCTCCTCCTCTCAATCCTATCCTCACAACAACCCTGTAAGGTAGGTTGGACTGAGAATCTGTGACTGATTCAAAGCCACCCAGTGACTGAGAGGGGACTAGAACCCAGATCTCCTGAGTCCCAGTCCCACACCTTTACCCGGTTCACCATACTGGATCTCAGGGATTGGATGGGGTTCCTTATAGCTCTACCTCTGTGATTTGAGACCCAGATGGCAGCCAGTGCCTTTCATCAACTGCAGCTCTTATACCAGCCTCAGCCCAATCTGGGCAGAGACAACCTGGCCACAGGTATCCTTGCATTAGCAATTTCCTGCATGGATAATTTAAAAGCATTGCACACAGGGAAACATCAGCTAGTGCAGAAAAGAAGAGCAACACTGCTTACTGGGCCTGATCGCTCGACCAGCTGGCGGCAGTCCAGCCTGAACTGCACTGGTTGCAACTCAGTTTCTGGGCCTGATTCCAAAGTGCTCATGCTGACCTTTAATACCCCCGGTGGCTTGAGACCAAACTGCCTGAAGGAGCATCTTCTCCCATATGTTCCTGACCTGTCGTGAGCACGTCTCTCCCCTCTTCCCTTTCCAGCAGATCTCGACAGAGGGCTTTTGAAATGCAGGCCTTTATTTGATCCAGACAGGGGTATAGGGTTACAGCATGCTTCATAGCAAGGTTCTTCTCAGTCAGCTGCAATCCAAGTTGCGTTCCATCCAGTTTGTGGGAGCAGCTCCTGCCTATGGGCAAGAATAAATCCCAGACGGAAGACCCTTTGCTTTGCTTTGCTTTGCTTTGCTTTGCTTTGCTTTGCTTTGCTAAAAGCCTTGACCAAACCTCTGGGAGATGCATCCGCTTTGTGGCCAGACGGTAGGAACGCTGGCTGTTACTTAATTGGTCCCCTTGTTTAGCTCAAGCTGGTTAATGAAACCACACTGCTCCTCCTCAGATGCTCCCTATTCTAAACTGCTCCCCTCCCTCCACACACACACCAAAACCTGAGGCAGTTGGATTCTGTCTGAGAAATCTGGCTCATTAGCCTTGGTAATAATGTGCCGCATTCCAAACACCTCTTCTCCTAACTGAGAGTGTGTTTTGAGAGCATCAGACCCATCTTCCCATGAGCCATCAATGAGATTCCCTTCAACAGCTCTTGTCTGGATGTCACAGCTCACCATGTTGTATCCAGTGGCTACCAGGGACAGAGCCTTTTCAGCAGAGGCCCCCCATCTATGGCATATCCATCAGAGGGAAATTGGCCTGGTGGCTTGATTGTATATATTGAGATCTCATCATATCCAGATCTCCCTGTTTAAGCAAGCATGTAACTTTTAATCTGTTTATTCTTTGATTTTACTGCTGTGTCCTCAGTGTATTCAATGTTTTATTATATTTAACATTTTAATGTTTATTATTTTGATCCTTTATATACTTTGTTGTGTTATTGTTTCATTCATTTCTTATATTCTTTGGTTTTATAACTGTAAATCACCCAGAGGGCATGTGCCAGTTGGGTGTATAAAAATTTAAAAGATAATTATAGTACAAGATTGTTTTGGATGTACAGTTATTGGCTTAAGCTGAAATTTGTGCAGTCCTTATGTCCTTGCTTTCTTCTTGTTTGGCATGCCAACATTAATCCAGGTTTTTTGTTTTGGTTTTTTGTTTGTTTGTTTTTTGCCAACCATAGTGTAATGGATACATCTAAAGTGGGAATAAACCAGAATCTTAAGCTATGGCTTGAGGTCATGCTAATATCCTGGTTTGATCTGAGCCTGCTATGCCTAGTTTCTCAGTTTGGATGTAACAGAAAACTATGGTTAGTTCAAAATAGCTGGGTTTAACTGCTGCATGCCAAGCAAGAAGCAGGAAAGGGCTCTGTGCACAGACACACGTCTCAGTCATAGCTCAATTTATTAAACAAGATATGCGCCTCTGAAGTTGGATGATATTTGACAACACTGTCAAAATTAATCTGAAAAGATTAAAGGTGCCTGAACAGGAAAACAATAAAATGTAGTTTTCTTTTGTTTTAATTTCTTCCATTTCAAACCCCACCCCCCCATGATAGCTTTTAAGAGGCAGGGAGATTACAAATGGATAATTATTTCTTCACAAATCTATATTTGTGATTAAGTGCAGAATTGACACCTTGGCAGATACATATTCCAGGTCATACAAATGGGACTTTTAGCTTTTGTAAAGGCCTTCCTACCTTTAAAACTGCATAGCATATATGAGAATTACCCTGAATTATCCTCACAACAATCCTGTAAATTTGGTTAAATTAATGAGTAATCCCTGACCTAAAATTGTCCGGTGGACTTCTTGGCTAAGTGAGGACCAACATCCAGATTCACCTAGTGCAGGTAAACTGCAGCCGCCCTCTGATTAAAAGCTGATTGCAAATAATATACATGAAAGCATATTTCTTCAACAATGGGAAAACTAATGATGTTCAAAAGTGCAGAAGTTGGATAATGAATGGGCAGATATTCCACATGATTATAGCCCTTTAAATCAAATACATGCAGAAAATGGAAAAGAATCCTGTTTTGTCAGGAAAGGCTCTCACTGAAGACAGAGCTGTTGCAAAAGAGGGTTTTCACTGAGTGAAGACGGATGCAATCTAAAAGAAACCTTTCAGCAAGCACTTCAGCTTGTTTTCCTCTTGGCTTTGCAATGTGCCTGTTAGACATACATGCAAACAAACTGAACTACCGGTTCAACCGAGACTGGCACCTTCCTTCTATTTTGTCAGGCATGCTCTCTGCCTTATAACTATAATGAAGAAGACCACAATTTTTTTGATTGGCCTCACCTGCCAATCTTTTTTTAAATGCACTTACTTAATAACACTACTCCAGGGATGTGGAGGCAGAGGAATCAGATTTATGATGTCACCGTTAGCTTCTATCCAAATGGTCAGGTGATGTTTTGTTTTTTATAGTTCATCCCTGGAGAGAAAAAACATATATTTTTGCACAGGTCCGCCTAGAATTATCCACATTATCTCTTTTTAAAGATTCATTCTTTATCTTTCAGAGCTTAACCATAAGTAATGGAGGGTGGTGCCGCTTTAAAGGCTCTACCCTGTCATTGTTAAAATAGGGACTTTTTTGATGGATTGGTTTTGTTTAGCTGCTCAGGTCTAAGGCTGGATCTACATACTGGATTAGGTCCAGATATGCACTCATTGGCATTCCACTCACTTTGGATGCATTTCCTCTGGTTCCTCTTTCCTTCTGCTGCCCCTGGCCCCCTAAAAAAGAGTGTCATGCATCACCTAGTGATGCTGATTTCTGTAAGAGAAGTGACAGAGGTCAGTCCCTGTCTCCTTCTCCATGAGCATGTATGTCTTGATTCATCCCACTGAGTCCCTTGCAATACTCCATGGATATGCAGTAGCAATCTAATGCTTCTGGGGCAACCCTGAACAAGTGGAAACACTCATTTCTTGAAGGAGGTAGGTCAGCATTGCTCATGTAAGGGAGTGCTGCTAACTTGTCTCCTATCAAAAGCATAGGAGGCATTTCTGCTCACTTTAGACCTTCCCCTAGGAAGCACCAAATCTTCCTTACATCTCTTGAGGAAGGGAATTTGTGTGGTCCCAAGGGCCCCATTGGATTCTGTTCAGTGTTTGCAAATATCCAGAATGAAGTTTGTTTGTTTGCTTGTTTAAGGTTTCTCTATACTGTCAATTATTCAAAATACTCTCAAGATGGTTTGCAGAAGTTCAAAACAACTAGTTACTGCAGATACAGCCAGGAAAAGGACACCTGTAGTTTTCAATGAACTTATTTCCTATGCTGCATCTAAAATCTTTTCATATACGAGACCCAAAATAACATCAATAGGCCCTTTCAGTTTGCATGCTGTATCTGCTTGGTACCTGAGGAGCTGCACCTGACCTGCTCTATTTAGAGACCCAAAGATAAGGCCTCGATCTGCTGACACATTATGCTTCTCCTGGCTTCACATTACAGCACTTTTGAGGACACAGATGTAGAGGCAGGCTCAGTTGCTTGCTCGTGAAATACCTGCATAGCACATTCTCTGTCCTTGGCAAGCAACTGGAGTCAGAAGGCCTTCTTTTCTCTTTTCTTTTCTTTTCTTTTCTTTTCTTTTCTTTTCTTTTCTTTTCTTTTCACAACTGAAAGGCATTGGCCCAAGAAATAGGTTCTTGCTAACCAGAAACAAAGCATCTGGCTAAGTGAGATCAAGCTTCTTAGTAGACTGTGTCTATTCTTATGACTTCATTTACTCAGGACTGCACACAGGAAATAATAAAAGCTAAGGGTGGGGACAGAGCAATTCAAGATCTGTTAGAAAGTGCTAAATGCAGTTGCTTTTGTTGCTTAACTGGCCTGTCTGAACTCTGACCACTGCTTGGGTGTGGGCCTGAGGACGGTGACCCAGCTGAGTCCCCGGATTCATCACCATGACGCACTGCTACCATTCCTAGCAGGTGTGTTGGACCTCTGGCAGCCCTTGGGCCAAAGCCAGTTTCAGAGATGCTTCTAGGGGGCCACTTCCAACAGTGGGCAGGACCGAAGGCCAAAAGGCAGGCCCGAAATTCCCAAAATGCTAAGAACAGCAACATATTTTAGCTCTTATTGCCAGTAATAAAACCTTAAGAGAGGCATTTGGATTTTTTTAAAAAAATAATAGGTAGGGGAGAAGCTGTGGGAAAGTCTTCCACCCCCAAATATTTTACAGTCAGAGTTAAAGGGATGGGCCAGAGTTCATTTACCTGGGGAATCCCAAAGGGCTGGATTTGGTCCCCAAGCCTACACTTCTGCCCCACGGCACCCTTTGTCGCTAAATCTGCATGGGGGTTGGCATGCAGGAGAGCTTCATGTTGCTAAGAAAGCTGGTGGTAAAGTGCAGGTCAGGGCAGGAGGGGAGTGAGAAATCCTTACTCCTGACTGTGAGTCAGGTGGAATGCCAAGGAATGGGTTGATGTAGCACTTCCGTCTGCTCAGATCTCTGGGCTGGAATCTTGTGAGGGCTTAAGAGACCCTTGAAGAAACAGGACAAATGGGAAAGCTCCTGCCACTATTCAGACCACAAACACTGCCTAAAAATACTGGTTTCCCACCTCCACCACAGCCCTGTATATTTCGGGAAATACTATCCAGTGGGAAAGAACATGGTAAGGAGCGAAAGGATATATAAGTTCAGCCTCAGAAGCGCTTGTTGCAAAGACTGTCTCCTGCTAAGCTCATGGTGGCTCAGCTGCTCCTTGCAACACACAAATACTCTGCAGCCTTCAGAGGGAGAATATTTGCATTCTCCCTCTGAATGCAAAGCCCTCTAATGACTGCTTAGGATGTGATAGACAGTTTCAAGTCCCTGGTTAGTCAAGTTCTTTTGCTCAGGTTGTTCAGTACTGATTTTAAAAATATACAATTTTATTTTAAGCTTATCTAAACTACTTTCTTCCTGTTATTCTGCATACTTTTATCATTCCCTTTATTTTTTTTTCTGATAGCAAAGACTGATGTCATAGCATTTACTGTGTGAGTCCAATTAGTGTAATAATAACCAGAACAGTCTTGATTATTTGCTTATTTATTAGATTTCTATCCCACCTCTTTTCCTTTTTGAAGAACTCAAAGTGCCTTACATAATTCTCCTCCTCTTGCTCTCAATCTTATCCTCCCAACAACCCTGTGAGGTGACTTGGGCTGGGAGTCGGTGACTGGGGCCAAATCACCAGTTGGCTCCATGGCTGAGGGAACTAGAACCCAAATTGCCTGAGTCCCAGAGCCATGCTTTTAACCACTGCACTATGCTGGCTCAACCCTTTTGCTCAGGTTATCAGTTCTATGAAGAAACTGAGCTGTACAAGGCAAGTCCACGGGGGCTTGGTATCTCCAAAGAGTACTGAAGGATCCGATGCGTCCACACTGAGATCCAAGTTTCAGTCTTGTTAACGATAGAAAGTTATTTCTGGTATAGCCAACACTTTTAAATAGGTGTTGTTTTTGTTTCACTCACATTTTGCTTAGAATTGAATACATTTGTACTTCCCAAACCAATACACAGATCAGAATGAAGGTATTTGCACTTCTCAGTCATTCTTGCAATGCATTTCTCTGGGAAAAAGCTCATTAAAAAGTCCTGTCTAAACTTGTATTCTTAAGTTATGAGAATGGCAGCTATACTGGCAGGAATTTTTTCTGTCTAAACATGCATAGGATTTTACCTTAAAGGAAAGTGCACATAAAACTGCATATAATTACAGGGTAAATTATTTTTAATGCTCTCCATAATGGCAAAAAAGACAAACATGGGAAAATAAATACATAAATTAGGATAAATGTTCATGAAAATTTTCATTCAGTTTTTGTTTTGGTTTTTAAAGTCATAAACCATTATCATACCTGTACAAAAAGAACTGAAAATTGGAAAATGTAAGAAACCAAAACTGACTGCCTTGTCCATCCCTGCCCTTAAATTTTCATAATGATGCTATAGGGGCCTCTTAAATGGGTGCTGATATTGGTAGGATGGCTTGGATTAATATTGTTTACCAATCCTGAAATGTGGAATCAGAACCAGACTCCAAACATTCCTGTCTGGTACCTGATACCAGGATCTCTTGTGTTGCTAGTACTTCTTCTCACTAGTATAGTGCTGAATCTAACACTGTCAGCTGGCAAAATGGAAACCACGGACAGAACTGGTTCCCCTCCCCCATGTTCCAGAGGATGGGAATGGGAGCACGGGGAATGTTGCGAGCTCGTCTCTCTACCTACCTCTCGCCTTTTCCCTTGCAGATCAAGTCACAGGCTTCTAACTACAGTCTTTTATTATTTTAAAGCAGCTTAGCCAGGACTGTCTTTATAAATCAAAGGGAGCATTGCAGAGGTCATTAGCAGAGAGTGAGAGGGAGAGAATCCATCAAATTAATGAGCTAATTAGGGAGACAGCATGGCTCACACTAAGAAGCTGATTCCAACCTGAATCCCCTCCCTTCCCTTCCCTACCAAATGGAGTAAGTTGCACCCTCAGGGAGGTTCCCAATCCTTGTGGGACAGATAGTGTGGATGCTAGATGTTATTCAGCTGGCATCAAACAGTGGGACTTATTATATCCCTGACCATCTGACCCTCCCTATCCCACAGCATCCCTACCCAAAGCAGAGGCAGTCTGATTCTCACCAGCTGGTAGCTTATCTAAAAGCTTGTTGGCCTCGGCATTTTAACTAAGTTTTCTGATCCTGACTATTTTCAGTTCAGATTCAGAGGCTGTTCTAAGCACCTTGGAATTCTGTGCTTTGGCAGAAGTAGGCTCAGTCCCTACACTGAGGAGGGCAGGGAGAAGACCTGTTGGGCAAGTGATAGTCTGCTCTTTTGGCACAGAATTTTGGCCACAAATTTCATGGGGATAGGAAAGAAAAGGGGAAGGGAAACCTTAGGCTTAGGAATCCAAGGTCCAAATATATGCACAACCATGAAACTAACTACTAGCATAATTTAGCTTACAAATCTTTTGGCCAGTAACCAAGCTTTAGGAGAGGAATTTCAGCCTTTTTAAAATGGATGGGGTAAAGGTGATGAAAAAGTGGGGAAATCAGCAGTTGGAGGGAAAGGGGTGAGGCCAATGGAAGGGAATAGGGTCTTCTGGAGAGCTACAGAGGGTCAAATGGGGGACCCAGATGAGCTGGGGCCCAGCACCCATGTTCTGTAAAATTACTGAGATCATGCAGGGTGCTGTCATGCAGACTGGACAGGTCTCTGTTCCTAATGATGCTGGCATGTTCTGTGGCACATATTCAGCTGCCAATACCAGGCTAAATGGACCAATGGCCTGACTTGGTATTGGGCAGCTTTGGATGTGCCTAACTTCATCCCAAATATCCCTGATCCGGACATTTCTGTTACTGAGTCCTGCAGTGCATGCAAGCTTTCCACCACACCTGTTATAGCAATGGGCATTGTACCAATTTTTTAATATGTCCTTTTTAAAAAACTCATTGAATATTTGTAGATTTGGCTAGATCTTTCTGTCTTTCTTTCTTTCTTTCTTTCTTTCTTTCTTTCTTTCTTTCTTTCTGATCAGTCTCTGTAAAAGAATACACCATGACTAGACCACCATTTCTGACACAGCTTGATAGGTTCCTAATGCCTGCTAGTTTGTATGCTCATGTGCTTGACACTAGACTAATTTAATGGATTTTTAATTGGAAACACAGCTGAAATAAAAGTCACTTCTTACCTTCATGCCCCCTCACACTCTATCCACACACAGAGACCTGGGAAAATGTTAGTTGTTACTTGTATTTCAAACATTTCCATTCTTTAGCAGTTCCTACTCTCAGGCCACAAATGGAAATTTCCTCCCTCCCTCTCACATTATTTATAGCTTGTTGATTATTATGATGTATACAGTATCTAAACTTTTACTAGAGGGGCTCTTCTAATGAGGTTCCCATCCCAACTTGCTGGCCAAAGAAAATGGGGGCAGCTTCTCAGCTATTTTGCCTGAATGGAGCAGAGCCGCCCCACTCGTTGCCTGCTTCTGCTGCCCCCATCCCCACCCCCCGTCGCCACTTTCTGTAAAAACTACACATTCAGAAGGAAATATCTTTGCACTTCCTTGGCTCTTGGTCTTCTGCACATCGACACAGCAGCTGTGAAGACAAGCCTCCATTTCCTTTCTCAGACTCCAGCTCTGTAAGCTGATCAATCCTTTCCATAAAGTTTTTTTTTTTAAGTTGAGGCATAAATCAATGCTTGGTATAGATTTGTTTTGTGGGACCAATGCCTAATGTTGAAAGGGACATACATGTTTTAAATTTTACCAAATTTTTCAAATCCAATAGTATATTTTATAGACAGAAGTTATCCTAACAAAACATACCATTTCTTTATTCCTTCCACAAGCTGGTAAGGTAAATTAGGCTGACAGTGGCAGGATTTGGGCATCATGCCAAATGATGTCTTCGTGAAATGCGTGTGCTCCCAGATTGGCACACTTCCCCTCCCTTACATTCCTCTAACACGGCTGGGAAGTGTTCAGAAGTGTTTGATTCTGGTTAACAACAGCTTGCCGTGTTGTCCTTATTCGGCAAGCTGTGGCTCATTTTGGCTAATATGGAGAGGGTCATAGTGCAGTGACAGAAAACAAGTTCTGCAAACAACCTCTGCTTCAGTCCCCAGGATTGCTAAATGCAGCTAGGAAAGCATCCTGACTCAAGCCCGGGAAGGCCACTCCCCGTCAGGATTAGGTGGACCTTTGCCTGGGCAGAAGGCAGATTTAGCCCACATGAAAGTGCTATTTATGAAGCTGACCTCCTCTCCTCTCCTCTCTCTAAGCACAATTAAGATTAATTGCAGTTCTGTGGAGGGAACGTGTGAGCCTGGAGCAAGGCTGACATCTTGCTAAACTGTAATGATGGTCAAATGCAGCCAGTGCATTCTTGAGGAAATGTGTGCCTCTTCAGATCAGACCAAAGGCCTCTCCAGCATTTTGTTCCCCACAGTAGTCAACCAGATGCCTCCTAGGAAGACCCCATACAGGGCATGGAGGCCATAAGTGCCCTCCATTTCTGCTCTCCATGTGACCCTGAAGGTAGCATACAGCTGCCAATGTTAGTCCCTGTTGCTAACCTTATTCCGTCATTAATTTGTCCTACATCAGCCTCGGGATGCTAGCAGTCCCTTTCCTCCCACTTTTTGATCTCCAAGAAGCATGTTTATATTACTTCATCTGTCGTGTCAATATAGCCTTTCTCTTGAGAGCGACCTGAAAAAATACCAACAATCAATTACATAAAGTGAATGTAGTCTAGAATCCATTTCTTAAGCACATTGAGCATATTTTCCCAGTCTGCTTTCTATCTACCGTAAACCAAGAATTTTAATACAGTATTTCTAGAAGAGCTCACAACAGACATCTACTCAAAACCAAATAACTTCTACCAGTCTCTTATATATACAATGTTCAATCATGCTTCAAATGTCAAGTAACATCACACATAGTATTTGCTGAATGAAATGTCCTAATAAGTCCAAAATCAAACTTTAAGTACTGTATATTCCAGTGAGTCTTTCCTTTGCAGCCATCACTTTCTCCTTCAACCTTTTCTCCTTCAACCTTGTCCAGATCAATCTTCTTGAGCAACAGGCTGCCACTCATTTTTTCATCACAGAAATGAATGTTTCAAGCCATTTATAACACAAAGCCAGAACAAATAATGCTTAAAATATTTAAAGCATTGACCTATAAAGTTAAGAACAGTCCAAATACCAGCCTGTTCCCAAGGGTTGCACCTTCTCCTTTCACAACCTCAGTACACAAATAATGGGCATTTCCCATTATTTATAATGGTTCACCTTCATAATGGTGGATGCCCCACACTTCAGTTTTCTCCTGATCGTGTGCAAATGTGTCCATAGCTCTTAAAGAATTTACACACATGGGTTGCAACTACAATACATCTGTTTCCTTATGGATATTGTGGATAAAAGTGCCAGTCCTGAAGGTTCTTCCTGTATAGAAGCCTTCAGACATACCAAAAGTAGCCTTGAAGGAACTGTGGAAGTGGTCGCCATCATGCTGCTTGAGAAGCAAGAAAAAACACCTTATTGTTCTGAAACAATCTGGGGCCCACCAGTTGATTTTTATCTTGGGAGTCACCTCTGAGTAACATCTTCTTAGCTTTCCATACTGTTCCTGCGTATTCATGCCTCATGGGCCAGGTGTTGGCCATCTCCTATTGCAGTGATCTGATCTGCCATTTTAGAACTGTTGTCTGAAAACTGGCAACGCAGCCCTCACAGGCCTTCTGTTCCCCTTAAACAATTAGTACTGAGTGCTGCTGGAAGATGAATTGACCCATTCACCTGTCCCAGTTCTTTCTATCTGTTCAAGTTCTAATCTACAAGGTAGGGGACATTTGCAAACATACAAGATGAATTAGGCATTGACACCATGCACTGGCCAATTGGGAAATGCAATTGCCTGGACCGATAAGTGCAAAATTGCTCCTCGGCAGCAGAACCTACTTTAATTTGTGTTTAACTCTCCTAGAAGTACCTCCAGATGGCACACTTTGGTTGATAATCTTGGATGCTATCTAACCCTTAGGCCCCATGAGGGTACAAAAGCCTTGAGAATGTTATTGAAGGGGAAAGTATGACTCTCAAATGATGAATGAAAAACAAAACAAGCCAAGCCTTTCTGCATGAATAATAACTCTGGGACTCAGTATGCCTGTATATTTCTTGCAATGCTTTCCCGATGGTTCATGTCCTTCCCTCTAGAAACACTGTAATGGGAAGATTAGAATATTGTACTGAAATATGGAAGTTCAGGGCTCCAGTCCCCATTTGGCCATGATCCAAGTTAGTAACCGATTCAGAAAAAGAATGTGGAAAATAAAAATAAATGAATACAGAGAGTAATTAATACAGAGAATAAAAATAAATGAATACAGAGAATACGCTCACACACATGCACATACACCTAATTAGGCATTGCTTGCTGAATTCTTCCTAGCATCTAGCTGTTTCACTTGTACACTAGGCCTTCCAGTGCTTCTACTTGTGGTATTGCTTATCTGCAGTCAGCTGGAAATAGAATTCCACACAACACTTAATATAGCACTACCCAGTCCAGTAATGCCAGTTCCGCATAGCAAAAACTCTTGCCACGATGCTGCACTCACAAGTTATTCCTGTTCAGCAAAGCTGCCCTGCAACCTTAACTGGCAACTTCTTTCTTGCATCTTCACTCCCTATTTTCCTTTCATGTTAAGCAGGACAACCCTTTTACTAATAAATAACCTCTTAATTATTCCTAAATTAGCTGATTCCTGTTTCTGGGGATGTAACATGATTACAAATTTCCTCCATTTATTCCCATTTAAAGATTGTAAAGTAGCGTCATTTTGCAGTGTTAATGTTGGAGTAAACATTACAGGGCAAAGAAGAGAGTCCTGGGAAGAAATAAGTAAAGTAATGAAATCCCTCTCTGACAGTTTGTCTGGTGTCCTAAGAGGACAAAACTTTCTATGGTTCTGATCTTTTTCATCCCTCGTGGCTCATGGAATAGAGGGTAGCCAAAAGTTGTTTGTTATCAGTGGTCATTACACATGATCGCCTTTACATCGTAACAACTCTGTAAAATGTTTTTGGTTGAGGAAGTCTGACTTGCCCAAACCCACTCAATGAATCTGGACCAGGGTTTCCTGGTTACAAACTTCTTACCATATTACTCCACTGTAATTTAATTCAGTTTAATTAATTTATACAACAAGGGAAAGGCTAATGTCAGACCATTCGTTTACATGGTTTCCATCGGCACTGCACATATTTCCTAAACAACAGGATGTAAATACTTGTTTAATCAAGACCACCCCCTCCCACCATGTCTATTTATAACTAAACAGAGTGTTTATGCTAGCAAGGAGGGTATCATTTGTATAATTATCGAGTTGGAACATGCTGTTTTCAATAATGTTGGAAAATGCCCTATGTTATACAGCTCTAAAAATGAATGCATCCACATGACAAGGGCCATTTGCAGTGGAACCTTCTGGCAGTGTTGATTTTACCAGTCAATTACCAAAATAAAGTCATACATTCATTCATTCATTCTGACAGTGTTGATTTTTTTTCATAATTTCACAGGGTAGAAATTCATTTGGAACCACAGTGCATGTTTGCAAAATTTGCAATAGACCTCTCCAACCAAAAATGCTTTGAAAAAAATAATGTTCAAATAAGCGTTAGATTATCGAAAATGCCTGCTAAACTGTTTATATCTGGCAACAATCCACACAGCAGAAGAAATGTGCACAAAACGCTTACAAATTTTCATGCAATCTTGAAATAAAATTCTCCAAGTTCAGGACAAATAGAGAGAAAAGTAGAAAAAGGAAAAATAGAAAGAGATTGGAGTTGACAGATCTCTCTCCACCCCATCTCCAATTCCATCAAAAGCTGTTGGGTGAGTGGTCTCTTGAACTGCTGCAAATTTGCCTGAACCACCTTTCTTGTTCCTTCATTCATTGTGTATGCTCTGAAGATGGTTCTCAGTCAGTGAAACATGTGGCCTCCATCTGCAGCTGAGATGGTTGAGCGCTTGCTGATGCCAACCGGCACTCCACCAGGGGCTCGCCTCCAAAAGCCCTCAGGGCCACTCCTCTTTCTTTTTTTGCCCACCTTTTCCTTCTCGCCTGGAGGAGATGAATGACAGAGACCAGGAAGAGGGCCTTTCCTGCCAGCTTCATCTCTCTGTCTCTCCCTCTGGCAAGGGAACTGGCAACAACCATGAAGAGCAGCAGAAGCCAATGGCAATGAGAGGAGAAGGTGGGCCCAATCAGAAGAGGCTCCCACTGAGGACATCTTCCCCAAAGGCCTCCGAAATCTTGGAGCCAGCTCTGATGGCATGGAAACAGTCTCTGCATTGTTCGTTTCTTCCTCCTTTTTCCTTTGACACAACGTGGTCTTTAAAATATACTGCTACAAAGAGACACTATTGATGGGACAAATCTAAGTGCACTTGGCTGCATTTCTCTGCCCTAACAATTGTTTTAATAGCTTGCAGCTGCTGGAAACCATGTAGCTTAGGTTGCCAATTCTTCTCCAGATGTCTTCAAGCTCTGTCATCCCTCCAAATCATGTTACTTCAGCGCCGTTGCTGGGCTTTAGCGGAAAACTTTCATAATAATATTTCTGGCTGTTCTTGCCCACTTCACTTAAATTTTATCATTCACTTGAGTGTGGATCGATCCCTTGGGCTGTGAGAGGGTTATTCTTGATCCCCTTGCTCTTTTTCACCTTACACATATGCCCATCAGAGTACATGGACATAGATGGAAGCCTCTGTACTTTTCATCCCGTTGCAATCAATAGGGGATAGTAATAGGAGCTTTCCCGTTAAGCAAGCTCACACATCTAACAAGTTTATTTAGGTGGCAGAGGAACAGACACCTGTGAGCTAGTGTGACATGGTGGTTTGAGTTTGGCCTGGGACTCAGGAGATCTGGATCTTCTGGTCCCCACTCAGCCACAAAGCTCACTGGTGACATTGTGCCAATCAGTGCCTCTCAGTCCAGCCTACCTCACAGGGTTATTGTCAAGAGAAGTGGAGACAAGGAAGAGGATTATGGAAGCCACCTCAGGTTCCTTGCTGGAAAAAGGGCAGGATATAAATAAAAAGCAATTAAAATAAAATAAGTAATGTAAGTAATGTTGATATAGCATTTACTGTATCTCCAATAGGCTTCTACTA